GTGACGTACACTAAGATCTTTCAAACTGGCTGGTATATCATTATAAATTGTTATACCTTTACAATAAATTGAGTTCTTGCCCATATTACTGTGTATCTTTATTTTTTCCAAGTGATTGTTTGTTCTTGTGTCGTAACTATGAATTTTAAGGTCATGTAGCTCATGCTGCTCAATGTGTCATTCACATTATTTTTACTGTTTGAAGAATTGTAGATTACTGCTATATGGAGACGGACATCTTCCAGGTAGATCTGAAGGTATTTTATATTATTTGATTCATAGTTCCTTACGACATTAAATTTTAGATCACTTTTACAGAAAATTGCACATCCTCCACCTCTTTTAGTTCAGGACGCGTATGTTACTTCATAGTTGGGAAGATTGTAAAACTTTGCTTCCTGAGGCTTTATCCATATTTCGCTCACCACAATAACATGAACGTCCCCCTCAATTTGAGCCAGGTGTGCTTCTATAGAGTCTAGTTTTTTTTACAGATCTCGCATTCAAATACAGAATATTGAAGTTTTGTTTTCGATGTTTTAAGTAAGATGACAAGTTCATGAGACGTGTTGATGTGCGTTGTAATTATCTGTTGATCCATCAAGGTCAATGGTTTGATCTTTGCGTTCGATACTCACTGCCTTGTGCACAGTTTTCAATACGTATGACTTTTGACGAATCCGACTGTCGACAAAAGACCTTTTCATCCCTAGCCCCCCAGACATACTTAAAGTTGCTATATTTCAACATTCTAGCTGTGTTGTGAAGCTTCCTGAAATCCTTTGATAGATCTTCATTAACAAATACTGGCCGTTCATCACCAGGAAATCCCAACTCAGTGGATGTTATTTTTCCTTTTGCTTTTCGACTCGCCAATATTTCATCACTTTTTGTCTTTAAGGATAGTTTAACCAGAATTGGTTTGAAAGGCATTTTACTGGACAGGGTTTTCACTGTGTATTCACCCTCAGTGGTATCAATATTGAGAGTCAAGAACAATTTTTTCTCTATGAAAATGTAAGACAACAATGTAAGATCGGTTTTCCTCTAAATTCAACCGTTCAGGTTTTACAGCCTGTCAAAGTTGAAAAAAAGTCGATTTTCAAGTGTCAAATATTACCTAAACAGTTGAACTACTTTTTTTTATAGGCTTTAGGGTCTGCTCAGAATTTTACGTAGAATCCAAATATGCAATCACATACAGGGTGTTTCATTTGAAAAAACAAAGCTGATCTGGATAGCAAACAAACCAGAAGTGACAGAAACAATTCGTCTACTTTCATTAAAGTCACTTTTTCGTATTATGCGCGACTTTTTTGCCACCCTGTACAGAGTATTCGGAAAAAAATACATCAACATTTAGTCAAAGATTCTTGAAGAAAATTAGGTGACCCTTTTTATTCTATTTTTGCCCTTTCGTAGCCCCCTGAAATTTGCCCCGAGAAGCCTTCTTTGGAACCCCAAAACTAGGAAAGCACATTCAATTTGGAAGGTTTTTTCCCTCGGTTTTTTTTGTATTATACCTAAAATGTTTTCGAGAAAATTGACAAAATGGGATGGAATGCTTGTCGAGATTCGAATGAAATTCTACCTGTTGCGTGGAGTAGGTGTGATGAAAGCCCTTGCATTCCATCACAATTTGCCATTTTTCTCGAAAACATTTTGATAGACGGAAAAAATTCTAATTTCAATGGGCCTATAATGATTTTTTCAACCAAAGTTTTGGGGCTCCAAAGACAAGAAGAGCAAAGAAAAGGTGTGCCTAAAACCTTTTCCGATTCCACATTTCCTGAAACTCCTATACTGAATCAATACATTTCGTACAATAGGATTCTGAAAAATAAAACAAGACTATTATTCTTAGGGGCGAATTTTGAGGGGGCTACAACTCCAAATTTTCTTGCCTCTATATCCGGACACCCTGTATACTTATATAGGAAGATCATTTATAATTTGACCTCCACCTAGAGGCTTAATAGACAGGTGGTGAAAGGTGTAAATACATATAAAAGTGGCTTCTTATCCTTTAGGATTATCAGACAAAATAATTGCCTTATCATCAAGTGATGTAACACTCCGTATATTTTCAGCTAGAATGAAACATCTTCCATGAAATTGAATAATTTGATTGGCCTAACTGAAGCCCATTTGATTAAAATTTTCCATTGCCGATGTTTTGCGTATTATTTTTATGACTGCCAAGATTATTGTTGATTAAGTTTTGGGATGATATTTCATCTTCATGTTTTTCAATATACCTACACTTACAATTCTTCAATTATGATACCATGGATAAACAATTTCAAGAATTCAATGATAAAAAAGCAATCATTTTAGTTATTGCGATAACATTTTAATGTTTGGCAATAATTATTCGCACAGTAGATCTTTTGTATTCATTGTTAAGGAATTCTATTGACTCCGTTTTATTAGATAAGCAAAAATAAGTCGTAAAAATTGCGATAATTAAACTATTAGTCAATTCTGATAAAACTGACAATGCAATGGACAAAAGTCGTTTCCTTTTTTTTAAGGATTGATTATTATTAGGAATCTTAGTTTAAAGATAATGTAGATTTTACCTAGAAAAACCTTGAGTTTTGAATAATGTCAATTATACTTAACTACCTGTGAGAAATTTTTGACCAAAACCAATAAAACTACCCTTATGCTAATTATTCCAAAATCCCCCCAATAAAAGGTAAAATCAGTCAAAAATGTGATTTAAATGCAGCAAACCAACTTAGTCAGGTATGCTATAATATGCAAATAGGGGGTTTAATGAGGTGACAGTCATTTTAGGGAAGTTATTATTTTATTACCTACTGCACCACCATTATCCTCGTCTTGCCTTATTTTAACAAAAGGATAGACTGCCTAGTAGGCGTTTTTGATAAATTTTGACGCCAGAATACAAATAATAATAAAGGTTTTAATATGAAGATTGTGGCATAAAATTTAAAATATGTCACTTTAGGATAGAGACATGAAAAATATAGAATTTAAAAATAAAATAATACATAGGGTGTGATGAGCAAATTGACCTCCACCCTGTCAAATTTTCATGCATTTATTAATAATTTCCTGTATGTGAAAGAAAAACTGTTTTTGTATAGAAAAAGTAAACAAAATAATGAATGACCACCAAAAATTGCATCACCGTTATCCGAAAAATTGCTAAAAATGTTTGTCTGCATAGTATGTGATTTTAGATCTAAGATTTTCCATAGGTCAGGAAAGAGTAGAGGTAGACACAGGATTGTCTTCATGAAATGTTCTTAGAATTGTACGTAGAATTTGAAAATTCTGAAATATACAGAGAGTACTATGTATTTGAAATGAGCAAGTTGAAATCTACATTATTGAAAATATTATAGTTTGATAATCAAATGAATAATACAAAAATATTTAAGATCCGTAGCTATAAAAAATCCAAAGGCATTTGCAATACTTTGATGAACAGTTTTAACCAAACTGCTATAAATTACGTATGTACTACAATATAAAATAACGACCCAACACTGACTCTTAGCAAATTACTCAAAAAGGAGGAGAACAAATTTGGAATAGCTACAACCGAGGTTAAAACCAAATTTTTAAATTAAATTACATTAGAAGCATAGTGTATTAGCATGAAATCTCAGTTTTGCATCTCTGAGATTTTTGGAATTTAGATCCAGTCAGCTCGAGAATGTGACATAATGTATTGTATTTATTTTGAAGTTCTAAGGACTAAAGAGGTTGAAGTTCTGAAAATTTGGTCTGAGGCGAGTCAGCACATTTACAATAAATTGTTCTTCTACTTTAAAATCCATGGCTTGTTCCAAAAAGGAGAAAATGGAGGAACCTCTAATTTGGGGATTCATTTTTCTTGTAGAATTATTTGGTAGTTATTGTACCATCGTCACCAAAAGTATCTGGGACAAAAATAATTTATATTAATCTCCTGGACTAATTCTACCAGCATTCATTTCAATGCATTTAAATTATAGTTTGACAAAAAATGTTTGACACTAAAATTCATATAATAGTACAAGAGCTAAATAATATGATGCTGTCCCAGTTACTTTTGGTGACGATGGTACTTTTAGTCCTTGGTGCCAAATTTGAATTTTAACTATGCAGAGAAGTGTGCAATTACTTTTTCCTTCGAAAAGTAAAAGTTTCTCGAATTTAAACCATTATGGAATATATTACCGTTGATATTACTTTATTATGCCAAAATTAAAATAACAAACAAATCTTTTTACACCGAGAATGTTTTGTACTTATGTAAAAATATACATTTTCCTTAACAAGGTCGTTTATGACCTCTAAATTTGATAGATTTTCAGTTGAGTTTCTTGGGGGACATACGGGATTGTCTTGTAATCTTTTGGAAAAAACCCGAAAGAAAGTTATAGTTCTTAGTTTAAAAATGATGTATGATTTTTTTTGTTTTTTTAAATTATTTTTGATTCTCCTAGAGGGTACCAAAACCAAAGTATGCTGAAAATTGGTAATTCCAGGTCAAAACTTTTTGAAAATTGTAAATACGTTCACTGATTTGGACAGTGGAAGAAAATATAAATTAACATGACTGCTTTTGTAGTGGAGATACTTAGTTTAATCCTTGAATAGATAAATCAGTCGAATCAAGTACCTATACCTACCCATTTTCATACAGGGTGTATAACTTACAGATTCTAAATATAGTTCTTTTTGTCCAATAAATGATTAATTCAGAATTTAATTGAAGCATTTTTGCTGAATTCTGAAAGCTTTCTTATCATATCAAATTTTGCATGATGATTGTGAGGATTCACTTAGTATGTTCTGATCTTCCTTCTCGGAAACAAATTTTCCCACTCAATAGAATGACCGACTATAGTTTATTTCGATGTTATTTTTATCTAGCAGAACCATTCACAATTTTTGTCTTTGAGTTGCCCTGGTAAACTTTTCTTGACCTTTCTATATTTCCTGTACCTGTAGTAAATTACTGATCTTATTTTTTCTAGGTTGGTTTCAAAGGTTTCGGCATCGCACCAGAAAAACTACAAACCACAGCGAAATTCATGTTCGACGGCAAACAGTACACCATAGGCCATGGCAGTGTCGTAATTGCCGCCATCACCTCGTGTACAAACACTAGCAACCCTAGTGTAATGTTAGGGGCTGGAATGTTGGCTAAAAAAGCGGTAGAAGCTGGATTATCCGTCCAACCTTATATTAAAACAAGCTTATCTCCTGGATCCGGCGTCGTGACTTATTATCTTAAAGAATCTGGAGTTATTCCCGCTCTGGAACAGCTTGGATTCAATACTGTCGGTTACGGTTGCATGACTTGTATAGGAAACAGCGGCGGTATTGATGAAAACATTGCAAACGCCATAGAACAAAACGACCTGGTCTGTTGCGGAGTTCTTTCCGGAAACAGGAACTTTGAAGGAAGAATCCATCCCAATACCAGAGCCAATTATTTGGCTAGTCCCTTATTGGTTATAGCCTATGCTATTGCCGGAAGGGTCGATATTGATTTTGAAACTGAGCCTCTGGGTAAACGAGCGGACGGTAGGGACGTTTTCCTCAAGGAAATTTGGCCTACCAGAGAAGAAATTCACATAGTTGAGAAGCAACATGTCATTCCTGCTATGTTCAAGGAAGTTTATTCTAAGATTCAGACTGGATCGAATAAGTGGCAAACTCTTAACGCTCCAACAGGTAAGAAATGATTGAAAGTAATGTCATGTTTTTATGTTGATAGTACTTTCACGAAAGAAATTTTGTTTGAATCGTCATAATTCTGCCATTAAGTGTAGTGTAGTTCTTGTGCTATAGTCTGTTTCATTGCAGTTGATAGCTCAATTCGAGGTTTAGGACCATAAAGTCATTGTAAACCCTATGGTTTAAAATGGTTTTATGGTCCTAAATCTCAATTTTAGCTATCAACTACAATTAAACAGACTATAGTAGTAGTAACTACAAACAAAGCCACTCCTTTGATACTCTTTCGGAAATGTAATTATGTGAAACCTTTCCTTCATAATTCTACTTATAAATAACGAAAAGGACAGTTTTTGTGGCTGTTGCTTACCCTTGCTTACCTTCTATTTTTGGTTATGAAAATGTTTTGCTTATTTTCAAACAGCTTCCACCAACCCAATTTATAAATTTTGATCGGCGCTACGACTTTTCTCAAGGTCAAGGTTCCAAAACTTTATTAATTTTTCTCACATATTCATAGGGACCAGGAATCCCGAATAAAAACGCACTCCCATTTTATATTAATAATTTATTTCAGTAAATAAATACAAATTCCTTAGTGTTAAAACAATATAAATTACAGAAAAAATTAAATAAAGTAATAGAGAATGAAAAAATACAAAATTTGCCTAAAAACTGTAAGGACTAGAACATCGAAAAGGGACGATAATCCATGAGTATGCCATGATGTTTGACTCCTTTTGCCTTATTTGGACTAGAAAAGTACCTAACTTTTAATACCTGATTTTTAGGATTAGGATTTTCTACTTAGTTATGTGATGAGTAAACATTTCTAAAACTTGACGAGGATGGAGTCAGATAATCCAAAAAGACTTTTTCTAAATTCCAATCGTTTTTGGAACCTCTGACTCTTTTGGAACATGGAATATGAAAGCACTCCAATTTTTACGTTGATCATTGTTCCCTTTTGAGAATTCTTCTATACTTATTTGAAATTAGGATGATCAATAATCGCAAACTTCCATTCAGTTATTGAGTGCTTTTTTACCTTTTTCAAAGTAAATAGGTAAAAGTGTTAACTTATCATCATAATAGATGATTGATCTGTTCTCACAGCAATCACAAACCAGTCAGAGCGAATTTCATTGGTTGTTGGCGATTTGCACCAATCAAAAACGCTCCCACTTTGTTTGGCATTTCTGTGAAGACGTACCTGATGTAGTACAAATCTTGGTTATATAAGTAATAGAAATTATTATTATGTATTATTATACTCAGGTCAACTTTATCCTTGGTCCAACGAATCGACCTACATCAAAAAGCCACCATTTTTCGCCGGCATGGCCCGTGGTCTACCGCAAACCGCATCCATCAGCAATGCCAAAGTTCTCTTATTTTTGGGAGATTCTGTAACCACTGACCATATTAGTCCGGCTGGATCCATAGGCAGAACGAGTCCTGCAGCAAGGTATTATCCTTGAAACAATTCTTATTAATTCAATTAACAATTATCTGTAGATTCTTAGGGGCCAAAGGTCTAACTCCAAAAGACTTCAATTCTTACGGATCGAGAAGGGGCAACGACGACATCATGGCCCGCGGCACATTCGCCAATATACGATTGGTAAATAAATTGGTGAAAAAAACAGGACCCAAAACTGTTTACTTGCCAACAAACGAAGAAATGGACATTTTCGATTGCGCTCAACGCTATGTCGCTCAAAAAACTCCGTTGATAATAATCGCTGGCAAGGACTACGGATCTGGATCGAGCAGAGATTGGGCCGCTAAAGGCCCGTTTATGTTGGGCATCAAAGCGGTTATAGCTGAATCGTTCGAAAGGATCCATCGTTCAAACTTGGTGGGCATGGGTTTGGTGCCTTTACAATTTTTACCTGGTCAAAACGCTGAAACTCTTGGATTAACTGGAAAAGAATCTTATAATATTAATTTACCAACTGACTTGAAACCTGGACAACGGATTCAGGTAGGAATTTTATTTTCTCTTATTGGGCTGTTATGCAGTATTTTTTTTTGGCATTTTTTTTAGATAAACACAGACAGTGGCAAGTCCTTCGAGGTTATCTTGCGTTTTGATACTGAAGTGGACCTACTTTTCTACAAAAACGGTGGCATTTTGAACTACATGGTTCGTAAAATGGTTGATTAAATGGGCTGGGCACTTAAAAAATAATAATAATCAAATAAGGGGTCTTTTCTTAGTCAAATTTTTATCAAAAAGACAATAATTTTATTTTCTTGAATAAAATCTAGTCAACTATATTGACCCTATTGTATTGAATCACGATTATTAGCACTTTTATTTTTGATGATTGGTAAATTTGGTAGGTGTATGGTATATTGCTTTTCACTTATTTTATTATTTAGCTGGAGAATATATATTTTATTCTATATAGAATGGTTTTAATAGGGAAAGAATGTGTATGATGTTAAATGTTTGTTTTATTTGGAAATCTCAATAGACCTTATTCAGACTTTTAGCTATACTTGCCTAAGACCATAAAGGATGATGAAAATCGCCTGAAGGACTGTGCTGTAAAAACTTGTATAGTTAGGTATCTCTGTATTTGCTAAAAAAAAAAATGTTGAATTTCCGTCTATATCATCGAGGTCTATATCCTAAAATAAACAATATCCAAATTTTCTGTTGAATTTGTAAATATGTGTGATCAGACAATGTAGATTTGTTGAGTTGTAAATAGGGTTTTATAAAAGTTTTCCACTATGTGCATCAAGCGTGTCCCGGACCTCTCTTTTCCGATTTCGTCTTTCCATTTGAAAATTTTCTTCATTCATTTTGATACATCCAGGTTTCATCATGATACACGAATCTGAAATTTTTCCCTGAATTAGTGCGTGTGTTAACTGTCTTAAATTTGTACCCTATTTCAAAATACTATATAAACTTGTTGGTCCTCCCTTAAATTTCAAATTTTCTTTTGGGTATTGTCAGTAACGTTTGTAAAGTAGTTAAAAACTATCACAAAACTGAGTAGCCACTACGTAATATCTATTATCCATTCACAATAGGCTCGTTCAGTGAGGTTCCATTAACCACGTTTTTTGATATTTTTATGGAGTATTACTCACATATAGCACACAAAAAAAAATTCAGCGCAATTGGATAAATATTAAAAAAGTTATGCGGCTTTGAATAATAAAACATTATGCCTCAGAAATTAATCGCTTAGAGATGGTATGACGTCATCTCTCAAGTCAAGATGGGCTAAAGGCCGTCACACGACCAACTTGAGAGATGCAGTGACGTCACCGCGTGTTTCGAAATTTCCAAACTTGGAGCTTTTTGATAATTTATTTAAATATGAACAAGGGCTCGGAAAATTATGAAATTTTGCACAACTGCTAAACTCAATACGCTCTTTTAGAATATGTAATAAAAAAAAATATGCTGAACGAGTCTATTCGATATCCACAGGTACAGGTGATTCAGGTGAAATTTATCACCTTTCAATGCTATTTGATAGGGAGAGGTGATAAATTTACCTGTACCTGTGGACATCGGATTGTGAATAGGATATACCGGGTGGGGCACAAAAAACTTTCCACCCAGGTTTTCTCAGGTGTTATGTGTTTAATCAAAAATCGCCCAGACACGTCAATTTTTGTTTTTTGGGAGACACATTTTATTGGTATTTTCACCCCTTACCTGTGAACCCCTAAGTGGGGTGACAGGTACCCACAAAATTTCAAATGAAAAGGGGAGTCGAGTGATACGTCATTTGATAGCTATTTTCATTAAGATTATATCCCCGAAGTTTCAAGTTGCTACTATTTACCCTGTCGAAATGGCAGCTTGTCAAAGTTAGGAAAAATCAGTGGAAAAATGCTGTGTGGTTTTTACCTGTTACCTATGCATAGGTGTGACAGGTACAAACTATACAGCTTAGATTATCGAAAAATAGCATTTATCCTAACTTTGACATGCCGCCATTTCGGCAGGGTTAATAGTAGCAACTCAAAACTTCGGGGATATAATCGCAATGAAAATAGCTACCAAATGACATATCACTCGACCCCTCTTTCTATTTGAAATTTTGGGGATACGTGTTACCCCCACTTAGGGGTTCACAAGTTGGGGGTGAAAATACCAATAAAATGTGTCCCCCAAAAAACAAAAATTGACGTGTCGATTTTTGATTAAACACCTAACACCTGAGAAAACCAGGGTGGAAAGTTTTTCGTGCCCCACCCGGTTCTAATCTTTTCGATCACTTATCAGAGAACCAAAATACAGGATGTGTTCCAAAATGCAAACATGTTCAAAGAAAAACGAGTGCTGTTCCAACCGACATGGGAACCGTTCCAGAACCAATAATTTCCAAATGCCCACCTTTTTTTCAATGAGTTGAATGTTTATCCTAATTAATGTTGGAATTTTGCCTAAATTTCATCCAAAACTTCAAGTTGAATGTGCTGAAAAACCACTGGTGGTACAAATATTTCTCAAATACCACATCAAAGCATCCAGTAAGTGCTACAATCTCAGAAAAATTTGGCACGATACCTCTGGATATTGAGATATTACCTCTTCAATTATAACAGGTATATAAGGTAGAAAGCACTTTTGTTGGATAATCTTGTACATACATAATATAGTGAAATGAATGTAAGTAATAAAAAATCAATCGGAAAATTTCAAATTTCCAATTTCACAGTCTGGAAACTTGTGTAAAATTGCCCTTTCATTGCTCAAAAACACAACTTCCATAGCCAAAATAGATCAAAAAAGCTATATAAATCATGAAAACAAATTTTCCAAACTTGAATTTTGTTTCTGGAAGTTGGAAGTTGATCTGAGATCTTTTTTTTCCTAGAAAATTAACTCAAACTTGAAACATTGAAAAGCCATCTTTTCCCCAATTTGGAAATAGGTCTGATTCTTGATTCCAATGTCCAAAATGAAAAAAACTTACCAGGATTTTTACCATGATTTCATATAATTCTGGATTCCAGTCACAAGTCTTGC